GAGCTGACATAGAGAGCACTAAATGTTTTAAAACAAGTCCATATGGCTGAATCTCTTAAGAAGTCTCTCTCAGTCTCTATGGGAATTAGGGAAGCATTATAAATGCATTAATCCTTACAGTCAATTCTGTGCTTAGAATTTTGTAAGGGAACAGTTCCCTACATTTTAAATTCCGCATTAGTGCATAGGAAAGGAACTTCACTGCTTTGTGCTTGGCACGTCATTATTTTCCATTTGACATTACGGCCTTTCCAAAGTGAATGTGAAGAATTGCTTTCACTTCAAGACTTTCCTTCTTTTCAGTAAAACTCTGGAGGTGTTAAGCGGGAAGGGAGGGGAACAAAATCCTTGAAGCTTTTATTTGGCTTGTGCCATGTTATGATCATGTACCTTTTAATTAAATAAAGGGAAATAGCATCTTTAAAGTTAATGTCTAGCCAAGAGTTTAGTTAATGCAGCATTAAACTGCACTGTTGATCGGAGCATTGTGTAAATACATCTTAACATTTGGGTTGAGAGGGGTTTAAGGACAGTTCATTGCAGGAAAGCAATTCTGTACATGAGTTTAAGCAGACTTCTGACATTGTCTCTGCAGATTCTATTTTTGTTTACAATATTAGAATTATGTTAGCAAAAAAATTTTCAAATAAAACGTAGCTTCCACAAAACTTTTGTTATGGCAAAAAAAAAAAAAAAAAAAAAACTTTTATAAAACATCTCAGAGATTACAAGGCCATAAAACACTGAAAAATAGAAAAATGTTTTCAGTTGAAAAGGAATTTTTCAACTTTGAGTATCGAGTAAAGAAAGAAAAAGTCATAGTTTTTTGGTATGAACGGTATGATGGTATGGCAATCTATGGAAGATAATTTTATGAAGCCATAGGCACTGTTTTCAATAGTCTTTGATAAACTACTTTGGGGTAAGGACCCAGTCTTATTTATCTTGAGCTATCACAAAGCCTGCCAAAATATATACACCCAATTGTTCAAATAATGATCTAATTACTTAGCTCTCACAGTGACCCATTTTGCAAAGGAAGAAAATATATTTCAAGTAGATTAAGCCAATTCATTCTAAGGCCCACATTTCCTGAGGGAGCAGGATTTTTATAATTTCTGCCTGACTCAGGGCTCATTATCCCACTAGGATGAGCAGTCCAAGACTCCAGGGCAGAGAACAATATTGTCATCTTACAATCTCAGATAACATCTAGCACAGACTTGAACAAAATGAAAGTACAAAAACAAATGCTTGTTGTACCTACCACCTCAATTTTTACAGAATTCATGATCAATAGGAAGTTGAAAAAAAAAAAAATTTGCAAAAATGGTTTTTAAGGAATTAAAATTTAGTGAATGAAAGAAAGTATATGTAGATGAGTAATTATTATGAATATAATAAAGTACAGTGAATTTTTAAGTAATCAAATCACCAAATTATATAATATTGTGACTAACAACTACTTTCAGAAAGGTTGTTACTGTTGTTAACACTAACTGGACCAGTGTAGAGCCACAGGGTTGCTATGGAACCAACTCAAATGGCATCTAACAACAAGAACAAAAAAATCAGTAACAAAAAAATCAGTACAAGCTAGAGGGGAACAGAAAATAAATAACTAAGGAATATATGTAAAGTTTCAGTCATTGCTGCCTCTCACCACACCACCATTTTCTTATTTTGAAGAGTTAGGGAAGTTATAAAGCACATAGTAAGTGAAGAAGAAAAATCTTAGTAGAGTTAATTTCTTGTAATAACAAGAAAAAACATTTTAAAAAAAGTATTAGGTGTAATGATGAGGAATAGAGAAGAATACATGTATGACATTCTGTCACATGAACATCACAGTATTTTCCAGTGACAAGAAGTTTCAGTGCACTGGATGAATCATAGGTGCCTGACAATGACAACAAGCTGCCGCATCTGTAAGACCCAGGAGACAACACTATAACCCAGAAGGGATGACTCTGCTGAAACTCCATTGGCTGCCTGAACAACCTCGAACCATCAGAAAACAGAAGGCAAGAACAAACATTCAGTTTGATGGTTAAAGGAAATCCAGAATTATCATAAGAGTGTGAAAAGCATTTGTGCCACTTCTGAGCTCCTTCAGGACTGCTGATGACATGGAGATCTTCAAATATTTCACAAACCGGAGCAAAAAAGGAAAGTCTCTTTCTCCTTAATGTGTAGTAGGACGTTTGAGTAAAATTAGCTGTAGGACTACTCCATTTGTCCCCAACTGAAATTAAAATATGGGTTCCTCTAGGCCAGGTAGAAATGGAAATATGTAAAGGAGCAGTGAAAATAAAATTTCCAAACACTCACACAGAAAATCTATCACCATTAAAATAGTGGCCTTCAAGAATGTCTTTAGTTAATTAATAGACGGTGGTGACAGTTGTGTGCCGCTGAGTTAGTTCTGACTTATAGCGACTCTCTATAGGGTTTCCAAGGCAGAAAGCCTCATCTTTCCACCATGGAGTGACTGGGAGATTTGAACTACTGATCATGCAGTTACTAGCTCAGCTAATAATCTATGACACTACCAGGGTTCCTTAATTAATACACAGTTCAAGGAAAAAATAGGTATGGTACGTTTTTCATTGGCCAAATAGTCATCGACACTATAAAATACAGTATGATGGAATCCAGCAAGTGACCTACTTTTTAAAGTTCACAAAAAACCCCTAGTTGTTGAAGAGCTCAGAGACCAGTATTCTGGGTTACAGAGTGGCAGTGAAATCCCTACATGTGTAGGACTGCTGTCATTCTACAAGAAGCTCCTGGTGCACACAGTCCTACTGATGACAGTAAAATTCGGGAAAAAATGTCCTTGTATTTAAAAATTACACATTTTATTACAGAAAAAACATACTCTATATGATAGGTAACTTTTCTAGATAGACCACAGAAGGCCATATAACCCACAATGCATCTGAAGGTGTTGATGCTTTGTTTTCTCGAAAGTAGTATCCACTGAGAAATTCTGATTTCAGGATTCAAACAGGTCTCCAGAATTTTGCATTGCTTCTGTTGGAAAATTCTTACATGATAATAAAAGATACATTTTCTTTGTTTCCTCCCCCAGTATCCCAAGCTTAAGGCTTCAAGGAGATACTGTGTGAGTACTGGACAGAGGTTAAGGTGTTTATCGTATAAATGCCAAAGAAATTACTGTTTAATTTCCATATTAACTTGAGCTTTTGTCTTACAAAAGGGAAAAGCTATCAGCAAATTCATCCTGTTAATTACTTTTCACATTAAATTATAATCTGTTAAATAAGACTTCTCAAATGACATTTATCATTTTGAATAAGATTAAGCCGGATAATGCATCCTTGACTGGGATTTAATTTTGCTTTATTGAAAATTCTTAAGACAATTCACTAAGTTTATTTGCCCTCAGGAGGCATGTTAGTCAGAAGGTCTACCCAGATGATACTGTTCAGTGACTAATCAGGAAAAGGAAAGATGTGAATCTAATTAACTTCAGAAACTCATTGCAAGGCCTTTGTAAAGATATTTATATTCTACGTCATGCACAGAAGGAGACATTTTAATCTTTTTCTGAAAATAATATTTCCTGTGATGCTGTACGATCAACACTGGACTGCTCACCACAGGTCAGCAGTTCAAACTCACTAGTAGCTCCTTGTAAAACCCTATACTGGGTCACTATGGGTTGGAACCAGCTCAATGACAATTAACAACAACAACAATAACTATTTTTATTATAAAGACATCTTTATTGGTATGTTGTTGAAGAATTTTTATGCCACTATCTCTGATGTCCTGGTGATGCCACTAGACTGCTAACTGGTTGGCAATTCAAACCCACCAGGATGTTCCTTGGAAATCCAACATGGTATGGTTGCCATGAATCAGAAATGGCTTGACAGCACTTAACAACATCGTTGGTGTCATGGAGCATGGTGGCTCTGTAGGATAAGCTCTGGCCTGTGAACCACAAAGTCAGCAGTCCAAACCCACCAGATTCTCTAAAGGAAAAAATGAGGTTGTCTGTTCCTGCAAAGATTTACAGTCTTGGGTAGCTATGAGTAAGAATCAATTGGATGGCCCTCAACAACAAGTTGACAACAACACCCCTGAAGTCAGGTCTCTGATGATACAAATGTTGATCGCTTGCTTAATAACAGAAAGGTTGGTGGTCCAGGTATATCCAGGGGTCCCTTGGAAGCCTTGTAAAATCCTGGTGTAAAAAGTATGGTGCACAGCTCTACTCCGCAACACATGTGGTCACTATGAGCTGGAATCAACCTGATGGTAACTATGTTTTTTTCCTCCCTCATTGCTAATCCAGACTGCTACATAACCAATAAAATGTCTTCTTTGGCAGTTTAAAAATACATCTTTCTAAAGGTATTGTTGTTAAGTGCCATCAAGTAGGTTCCAACTCATAGCAACCCTATAGGGTTTCTGAGGAGCGGCTGCTAAGCTTGAACCTTCAACCTTGTGGCTCAACCTGACTTTGTGATCGAGTGCTTATCCTACAATAGTCACTGCTCCTCAAACCCAGAAGGCGATCAGATGCCCCATTTCTCATGCTGCTGAGTCACTGATAACTCCCTTCAGTAGACTAAAGTAATCTTTAATTTGCCAGAATTATAAGCACTTTAAAAATTACAATCATGCCTCTCAAGTGCACTTAGAAAGGTCTGGATCTATTCCACAGTATTCCTTTATTCTCATGAGAAGAACACTTCCAATTAATGGCACTTGAGAACATCTAAGTCTTCCTCCATTTAAAAATCAACTGAGTAGAAAGTTATGAAAGCAGTTCAGCACACAATAGCTATGCTGATCTCACATTTGCTGAAAACATCCTTTCATAGAATTCCACTCACATGATTAGAAAACGGACATTTCAGAGAAATCTCTTACTCAAAATCAAATCAAATATTTTTTAATAATAAAGTTAAGATGCAATTAGTACCTAACCAACTAACAGATTTTCAGTTTGACCTTACACACACCTTTCCCGAGGAACAGCAAACCAGTACTCTGGTTGCTTTCTTCTTTTGCCATACTGCTGGACCATGGAGGCAGTGTGGGTGGCAAAGGATTTTCTCATCGGTTTTCCCACCTTGATGCATAGAAACATGGGAGGAGTCTTGCTTTTCTCTTCTTTTGAAGGAAGTATATCTGAATCACATGAAAAAACTATCCTCAGTAGAGACAATTTTGGTGACAGTGAAACTTCAAGTTATAAAAAGTAGTGTCAACCCTTCTTGGTGACAGTGAGACAAAACATATAGTAGAAACATCATGCAGCACTAAGGCTGATTTAAATTTCTAGACCTTGTCTAGTGCAAAAGGAAAACGTTTGGGCTGTTTCAGGTTACCCTACTTCATGTTGAGAAGTTATATATACTGAATATAAGTATAAAACACAACACAAGAAATGGAGAACTCTGCTACTACAAGAACACATATTAATGAATGATAGTCAAGATCCAATCACACCATAATGCAATTCAGTTTAGAACTGAAGCATCTTCAAAAAAGGTTTTAAACTCTTTTAGAATGGGAAATTCAAGGTCAAAAAGAGTCACTTGAAAGATTTCTTTACAGAGCAAATTACTTTTGAAATAGAAATCTGACATTGGTCAAGTTCCATTATAGATATCAAGTACTGGAGTTCTGATGTGGAAATGTGGGTTGGTACACCAAACTGCAAAGTTGCTTTGAACCGTAAGGTCAGCAGTTCAAGCTCACCAGTCGCTCCTCAGAAACCCTATACAGGATTGCTATGGGTGAGAACTGACTCAATGGCACTTCACAATAACAACAACATTGCTAATATTTTACCAGTTATTAATAGTCAGCAAGGACACTCTCCATTGAGAAAACACTGATTGTTCTAAAATATTTTACTACTGTTGCTATTGCATATGCAAGTTTTAGAAAGACAATTATATAATGGATTAAAAAGACATTCAATATATATAAATGACTTACCTTCAATGGGTACCTGTATTCTCTTTAGTAGCCATAACTGAATTTCAGATTTATTATCCATTTGTGCACCTTGGCAGCTGTTGTGCAGAGAAGAATCCAAAGAGGAGTCTACAGACTTTTTAATTCTATTTTCATCTGTAGGAGAGTCCTGTTGCAATGTGTTCTCTTTCATCCAGGCTTTATATGGCTCTTGATTGCCCTCACTTGTGGGATCACCTGCCTGGGGAAGAGAACTACTAAGGGTGATGTCTATTCCTATGGGTTCAATGTTTTTGTCATCACTTAGTTCTACCTTCTGCAAGTTTTCAGGTAACTGTAACTCATCTTTGTTTTTATTCAGGTAATATTCAATGAGTTTAACTTTATCTAGATCTTCATGTATGTTCAGTGTGTTTTCTACCTGGCTTTCTGGGGAACCAGACTGCTTGTCCACTTCTGGCATTATATCTTGCTTCTCACAAGTTTCTAAATCTAAGGCTCCCTTCAGCTCAGCATCACTCTCTGTTCTCAAAACGTTCAGGGCTGACTGTACCTGACTTTCTGTAGCAGAACTAATTATCTGTGAGTTAGATTTTCTCAGCTCCTCTGAGTCCAGGCACTCCTTTGCATTGTCTCTTTTGTCTGTTCCACCATCCATTTGAGAAGAAAGTTCTTCCAAGTCAACGAAGTCATCATCTTCCCCCAACAGGGAGTTTTCTTTGGCTGTCAATTCAAATTCAGTGTCAGGAGTTTCTCTGCTGGCCCCTGTCACTGTGGTAGAGGATTCCAGTTTCTTTAACTTGCCTGACAGAGGGCGGCCTGAGAGCTCTTCATGTGTGTCACTGGCTGCCTTCTCCAAAGGTCTCGTTGGTTTGGACTCTGTATTGATAGTTCTCTCCCAGTTTTGCTGCCGTTTTTCCTTGTTGAGAGATTTGAACTTACTGAATGGGTTGATATCCTTTTCAGAAGCCAGGTCTTCCCATTCTCCAGGCCTGTACAGAGGACAAAGATCCTGAGGTAGGTCACTGTTGGGGAAAAATGGTGGGTGCACATGGAATGTTAAAAAGAAAACCAAAAATAAAATGGAAGAAAGGCAAAACAAAACAAAACTCAAACAGAAATCATAATATAAATATGCTGCAACTTAAATTTATGCTTAAAAGTTTCAGAATAAGAAAATAAAATCGATACATTGACTTTAAAAAGAAGTATATGCCAAGTAAAGTAGGTGACAAAAGAAACAACCATGATGTTGCAAACTCTAGAAGCACATGAATGGCTTTTGAAATCATGTATGAATATGGAGATGTCACCCACCAGATTACAAAAGATAAAATAATGTTTCTGATTTTCAAGAAGAAAAGAACATAGGAAAGAAAATATTTTAGAAACAGTGGCTAAAATTCCTTAAATATGCAAAGCTTTTCATAAGATCTAGAGACCAACTACATTAACTATGAACTGCTCATTTACTTGTTGTTGTTGTTGTTAAGTGCCACCGAGTTGGTTCCAACCCATAGCGACCCTGAACAGGGTTTCCGAGGCTGTAAATCTTTATGGGAGCAGAAAGCCTCATCTTTCTCCTGCAGAGCAGCTGGTAGTATTGAACTGCTGACCTTGAGGTTCGCAGCCCGATTCGTAACCACTACGCTACCAGAGCTCCTTGCTCATTTACTTAGCAACTACTTATTTAATTGCTCTATAAGGTGACTGGCCCGGAACCCTCATTTTGAGTCTCATGAATTAAGACTTAATGCTCTCAATAACAGATATGCTCTTGGCCCTGAAGGACATGTAAGAAGCATTTCTGTAAGCATGAGCATCATTTATGTAAGTATATGGCACCTGCATCTTTTTCATTTTTATTTTTTTAATCCCTAGAGAAGCAGGGTCCTGGTGAGGCACTGTGAGTTAATGTGCTGGACTGCAAAGTCGATCTGAACTGCAAGGTTGGCGGTTCAAGCTCATCAGCCACTTCTCAGAAATCTATACAGGGTTGCTGTGGGTAGGAACCAACTCGACGGCACTTAACAACAACAGTAACAACAAGAACAACTTAGAGAAAGTAAACTGGCTTATCAGGTGGAACATATTAATAACAGTTATTTCACTACCCAGATTTGAATTACAAAGAAATATTAATTACATATGCTTTTTCAAGTTTAAAATGAATTGTTAAGAAATTGGAAATACTTGGAGCAACCTCAATTTCCACCTATCTTAGTTGCATTACTAGATTAAAACAGATATAAAATCCCTTCTGAAAAATACCATTTTCACGTTTAAAAACACTTATTTTCTCAAAAGATTAGATTATATTCAGGTCATACTTTCTCAATTATTTTGTACCATGCAGTTTTTAAAAGACAAGATGACTGTCTCCTCAAAGTTAATTTATAAATTACTTGCATGGAATGTCCAAGCTTTTTCTAATAAAAAATAAGAGCCTATGTAATTGCTAGGCTCTGAGAAATACTGTAAAAATCCTCTTCAATTTATAATTCACTCTAATGAAATAAACATTCATTGAGCTCCTAAGTGCCACATGCTGAAAGATGACTGTGAGTGTCTCTGTTCTGTAGGAACTTGCATGTACCTGGGACAGCATGCACAAAATGTTCTTTCCAACACTTGCATCCCAGGAGAAGTTAAAGATGCATTGATCTTAGAGTAAAAAAAGATAGGATAATACAGTTTGGGTTCCATATTGGGAGTCAAAATTAATTTGAAATGTTAAAGGTTGCAAGAAGTCCTGCAAAAAGGGACCCACCTTTTCACAGACTTGATTAATAACACTTTCTTCCGTGAACATCCAGTGCCTTTTACATTTCTTCCTTCCCTACCTAGCTCAATCCCTCCCAAGAATACATTCAACTGCACTGCAATCAACTGCCTAAATTAGCCTGTTCACCCTGCCTCTCTTGTATCTTCTACCAAATCCAAACTGTGAAGTACCTACTTGGGATTAACTTAATTATTTGTTTTTTGTACACTGTGGCTGCCAAGCTTTTGCTGGGGCAAAGTATGTAATGGTGTCAAACTGGCTCTGCTGCTAATAAATTCTGGACTTAGTCAGGCACCTAATAATGATCAAGAGTCTCATCAATTGCTCCCTTCCTATTCTCTGTGGCAGCTGCAGTTAAAAGCTGTCCTACACAAAGAATAACCTAAAGGTAAGGCTGCCTACATGTTAAACACATACTATAATTTAAAGAATGCAGTCAGATAAGTTCTACTTATTATTTTAGCACATTACTTAAGGTAATAATTAAATTTAAAGTAATTTTAAAACATTCTAGATTGATGGACTTCTGAAGACAGTACAAAATTCATTTCATACTAATTCCATTCATTTGTGCATTTGCTCATTTCAGTCTAATGTGCATCTACTGTTGATTAGACTAAAATTCTTTCCAGGTGAGTGCTTGCATCCAAGGTAGGAATCAGTGAATGACTCTGAAATAATTACAACAAATTATAAATCTCCTTTCTCCACCCTACCCCTTAATCCCAGCACTAACCCTATTTCTAGATCATGAAACATAACCTCATATTGAGAGAAGTGTTAGCATTCTAAGGCAAAAGTAATCAAGACTGAAGTAATATCCATACTTCAGAGAAAACAGAAACCACTATTATTTTCCTCTTCACTCCACTTAAGATAGTCTAGCTAGAGGAAAGCTGGCTACTGCACTGCCCACTTAACCCTCTCCCTAGGCACGAACAAGAAAAGCCATAAGTTAGGAAGGTTGCCTATTCTGGAATTTAAATGGGGTCGAGGAAGAGAAGGAAGAAGGGGGGTAGAGAAGGAAGGGGAGGAGGGGGAGGAGGGAATAATTTGTATGCCCAATTTTTCCTTAGCATTGCTTATTATTTTCATTGTCTCTCATTTTTCTGCTTTTTTTAAATTAATGAAAACACAAATTTCCAACTTGAAATTCACCTCTACAAAATCCTTCACTCCTGCAAATGCCCCAAATTTTCATTGTTCTAAATTCTCTCAATTCTTTTCTACAGTTAACAAATAAATGGGTCTTACGAGGGCAAGGCGTCTTTGATCTTCATGTGGGAAATGTCATTGTAGAGGGCAATGGAAACCACCTCTTCCATGGGGCAGATGAGGCCGTATTCCTCACACCCATTTTCAATAACCAAGGGATCAGATTTGTGAGGGTCAAACATGATGTTGTTAGGAGTGACAATCATGACGCCTCCAACTACACCCTGAAGGGCAAAGAGATAGGACAGAATCATCAATTACAGGTATGCTTTCAACAGCCATCATAAAAGCTTTAGTATGAGATACTGTTGCCATTCCAACTGTTTGGTGAACCAGACGATCGGTATCTTACATAACACACACGTCTTCAGTGAGAGCTCTGCTACCTTTGGTGGGACAGGGAAACACACTCGCCTTCCTCTGGCAATCAGACAGACCCTGGCTTCAGTGCAGCTACTACAATAGCACACTTACAGCATGACTTTGGGGCACTCATGTGTGTCTGATTCTCCAGTTGCTTGTCTGTAAAATGAAAAGAGTTGTCCTAGCTGTGTTTCTAAGCAAGAACACTGTGCTTTACAATTCCCTCAACAAGTATTTATCATGGTTGACCAGATACATGATCCTGTGCTTAAGGAAGCAGCTGTCTTGGGATCAGGCTGCCAAAATAAGTAATAAAATTTTCATCTAAAATGCTTAAATCTAGCAAAGACAACATAAAGAAGATTATAAGATTTTTGTAGTCAACAGTGAATATAGCTGAATAATGGAAATAACCACTTTCTGTCAGTCAGTTTTTCATACTGTGTTGGCTTGTGGGTTGTTATGATGCCAGAAGCGATGCCACCACTATTTCAAATACCAGCAATGTCACCCAGAGTGGCCAGGTTCCAGCAAAGCTTCTGGACTACGACAGACTAAAAAAGGAAGACCTGGTGATCTACCTATGAAAACGAGTCAATGAAAACCTTGTGATTGCCAACAGAACACAGTCTAATGTGCTCGCTTTGGACACATTATCAGGAGGGATCAGATGCTGGAGGAGAGCATCGAGTTTGGTGAAGAGGGTCCATCAGGCCCCGAGAGCGCCTCAGTGAGAGGGACTGCAATAGTAGCTACACTGATAGACTCAAACCTGCTGGTAACAGAGGCTAATGCAGTGCCACACAATGGTTTGTTTCCTGTTCTATGTAAGGTCACCATGGGTTGGAGTCAACCAGATGGAAAGTAAAGGCAAAAAGCAGCAATTTTGTGGTACCTAAAATACCTGAGTCGTTCTGGTGTGGTGCCGTGGGTTAATGCACCGGACTGCAAGATCAGTTTGAACTGCAAAGTCGGCAGTTCAAGTTCACCAGTTGATCCTTGGAAGCCCTATTAAAGGTCACTGTGGGTTGAACTGACTCGACGTCACTTAATAACAACAACAAAATATCTGAAGCTTAGTCAGATTACGTGACAGAGACCTAGATGTAATTGGGGATATTATTTATCAGTGATAGCAGGATACAGATAATTCCCTTTAGGTAAATAATTTATTTTGTACTCTTAATGAGTTTATTGATGATTTTTGCAAGAAGATTTTAATTCAGTCATTACTTACTTTGGAGTGTGAAAGTTACAAATGTGTTTCAATAACTTATTTTCCAATTATTTAGAACTTGACAAGAATTCTTAATTATGAGCACAGGAATTCACTTCATACAACTTAACTCCCCGTTGAAAGGCTCACTACAAGGTACATTTGTTCCTTGTAAAAACTTAAACAACCAAAAAACTAAACAACATGACACAGCAGACACTGTTTTAACATAAGTAGCAAACACAGGGGAGAACTTATCATTTTCTTGTGAGGTGCTAAACTCTAAATGAATAATATCTTTAATTATTATATTCTATTATTGTTGCTGTTGTTATGTGCTGTGGAGTTGGTTCCGACTCATAGTGACCCTGTACAGAGTTTCCCAGGCTGTACATCTTTACGAGAGCTAAAATCCTCGTCTTTCTCCCGTGGAAACAGCTAGTAGTTTCAAACTGCTGACCTTGAGGTTCGTTGCCCGATTCATAACCACTACATTAATTGTTGTTGTTAAGTGCCACCAAGTTGATTCCAACCCAGAGCGACCCTGTATAGGTTTTCCAAAGAGAAGCTGGCGAGCTTGAACCACCAACCTTGCAGTTCAAACGACTTTGCAGTCTGATGCATTAGCCCACAGCGCCTAATTAGTTAAGCTTATTCTTGTTCCTATTTTATATATTAGGAAAACGGAAGATCAGAAAACATAAGTACCTTGTCTACGGTCTCACAGCTAGTGGTTGATAGAGCTGGAATTTCAATTCATTGAGAATGACTCCAGAATTTACTGTTAAATATATATGATACTGTCTCCCTAATAGTTTATGAGTCAAGAACTGAAAGGTAAATGATAAATACAAGGTCACAAAGAATCACATTTCCACTCCATGATCACATTGCCTCAATAAGTAAAATGTCAGGTGTCCAGCAAAGGAAGAAACAGGTCCTTGCCAAATCTTAAGCTGAAACTCTGGGTAGGGTATTTTAATGTAGCATCCCTTCCAGTATTTGGAGTCATATTGCATTACCCAGAGATTTCAAGAAAAGGAAACAAATTGCTCTACCATATACCTTTCCATCAGTGAAGTATCGACAATTCATTTTTAAAAATTTTACGACTCCTGGTTCATCTTCTTCAGACGTAGATGATAAGACTCTCTCAATGGGTTTTAAGGCCTTTCTTGCTAAGTCAGCATCCTTCAGAAAGCAAAAATTTCCAAAATAAATGCAACTAGTATTTCAAAACAAATTAATAAGCATGCTTTACAAATTCTATGTAAATTTTTTTCTGTTTTACTGATATAAAAAAAAATTCATCCTTCAAATATATTGCAAAGACAAAAAAAGTACCCAAATGACACTAAAGAAAAATGAACAAAAAACAAATGCATTAAATATCTATAGAAAATACTTTTTAAAACTTTGTGGAATAATGAAATTTAAATATAATGGAATTTTCCCACAAACTCTTTTAAGTCCTTTTGTGAATTCATAGGAACTAATCCATATCAAATTCCTGGTTAAAATTCTTTAGAAAAACAGTAAGTACAAATAAGCTATCAGTCTCACCTGTCATTTAAATTCATACTTTTACCTCAGCCATGCACATCTGACTTGGAGCGTTTAAGTGTAAACAAATTGTTCATGGATAGGATGATGTGTTCTCAAGACAAATAACCAATTACTTAACTTACTTATTTGGGGGAAATTTTAAATGTAAGTTTATGAAAAGTAACATAAAATTTTATGATACACAACAAAATCTTTGTGACAAATATGAACTTCAGTGCATGAAAAGAATACATACAGGTAGTTTATCATATTCTGCATCTGATGAAGAGGGAGAGACAGTAGCACCAGGGCTGGATGACGATAACCTTAAGGTACTGGAAGGAAAGCTGGCATCTGGCACAAAGAGGACCTGAAAATGAGAGAGTGCTGGATGAGTGATACTTATTAGCACACCTGCTAATCAGTTACTCTGTGCATAGCATGATGCTAAGTGTTTGGCTAAAACCCAATTGGCTTTCATAGAACTCATAAACTATGAAGGCCTTCTAGACTAATCCCTGAAACAAAACTCATCAATATGTAGGCAGCTGCTGAAAATGCCTGTAGGTACTGCAAGAGCTCATAAAAGAAGACATCAAGGTAGGATTCGAGGCAGACCAAGTGAAGCAGGAATAGCCAAGTAAAATCTTGAAGAATTAGTAAAACTTAACATGGAAGACCCTTCTAGGGAAGGGGACTAACAATACAAGGGAACAGAAGAGAGAGAAGCACAACCTGCTTTAAACATTAACACCTATGCCAGGTGAAACTGGAATAAATCTAGGCTTGCTAACCCCATACAGGCGCTGAGTGCTAAAGTAAGTAAGGGCCTGAAGTGAGAAACTATAAAAGGCAATATTAATACAAAGTTCTTAATATTTTCTCCATCAGGGAGTAATTTAAAAACAAAAATATAAATTCAACATGTTATTTAAAATAGCTTCCTAAAAGATGTTCTGGTTGCCCAAATATTATTACAATCCTGTCATTTTAATACACTTTCAATGAAGCATGCTACATTTTGGCATACACCACATATGAGGGAGGGGATGCCAAAAATCTGTGAAAACATTTCATTTTCCATGAACTTTTTGACGCCCCCTCATGCAGTCTCAGTCCTAAAATGGTGACATCTACTGGTGTGGCACTACAGGACCATCACTGGACAGCAAATTACAAAGTCAGCAGTTCAAACCCACCGGCTGCTCCTTGGAAACCCTACACAGGGTTGCGATGAGTCAGAACCAACTTGACGGCAGTTAACAACAACAGTATAAAACAGAATTCAAAGTTAATCATACAACAACCCATCAATATTGTGTTTCATCATCTTTTCATTCTTCTAGTCTTATTTCTTTTTTAATATTAGTCATTTAAATCTGACTTCAACATAGAAAAACAGGCAAAAACAAAAGACATTCAGGGAACACCATGGTCAACTGGCATAACATAATCCATAAAGACAGTGTTCTACATCTTACTTTGGGTAAGAAGCAACTGGGATCCTAAAAGCTCATGATCAGCCAGCTAATTAATGTGCAACTTTTGGTGTCTCCAGGTATAAAAGAAAGAAGAGTGCTGAAAACAGAAGATGTTTGGCATCAACTAGCCCAACGGACCAATGGAACATGTGAACATTAGTCACTATGACTCTGTGATCAGAAGAACTAGATGGTGTCTGGCAGCTACCACTACCACTGCTATGAAAGGGGCCATATTAGAAGGTCTCAGATGGAGTGGGTGAAAATGTGGAATAAAACTCAAAATTATTTTAAAAAGACCAGGCTTAGTGGTCAGAAAGACTGGAGGAGCTCATGACTATGGCCCTCAACACCCTTCATGTGTGTAAAGGAACCCACCCTTGTGGCCCAATTTTCAGCCAAGCAGTAGATAAGCATATAGGGAGTTCAAGAGCACTTATAAGGTATGCTCACCATGGAAGGGTCAACTATTCAAGATCAAAAGGTTAACATTTACCTAAAAACAAAGTTGAGAAGGGATGGGAAGGAGGGTGGCATGAAAATAAGAACCACAGGGAGGAAGGGAGATAACTGTTGTTACATGGAGAGGATTGCAACCCTTGGGATGAAACAAGTGTATGATTTGCTGGATGTAAAGCTGATGCTGATCTTCTCTGTGTACCTTCAGGCAATTCACAAAAAAAATTAAAAAAAAAAAAAAAAAGACATTAAAATAAAAGGAAAATTAGTCAACAAATAAATAAGATGAAGACGGATTCCTACTAGAAACATTTCTCTAAAATCAAAATACACTCGAGTATAGGTGAGTCATAAAACTGGAGAAGTTTCCAAACAACAAATATAAAGAGATAAAATTAATTAGTTATATTATCCAGTCAGTGACAGAATTCAATTTTCATAAGATAAAAATAACTAACTTCTATGGAAGAGTACAAGCATTCTCCCATGAGGTCTCATTAAAATTAAAAAAAAAAAAATTTAATAAAACAGAGAGTACACTAGGCTGCAATACTCATCTGAGATACACTCGTAGTAACTGCAATAACCAATTTGGGTGATTACTCTATATAAAATCTTCAATTCTGATGTCAATGGCAAATTTGCCAACGTTTAATTCTATAAAAAGAATTTTATGAATGGCAAAAAATGTTTGGTCTTGGTATGCAACTGTCTTATACACTCTACATCCATTAGAGCAGTGAATGGATGGTATTTTCAGCAATTCTCCATATATATATATATTTTTAAATTGCATCTGAGTTCTTGACAGATATTAGGCAATACAGGTTGAAGTTCTTAGGCACATTCTAAATGACAAACCAAAGGGGCAATCCCTATGCTTACACAGTTAACTGTAACAGAGACAGAGATAACATTTGAAAACTGGGAGGCTTAGCTAGAACATGTGCCATCTCAACACAGAGGAGAGTCTGGGTCATGGGTCTCAGAAACGCAATACAGGATATTTATGAGTCTGAAACAACACAATGGCACACATTCACCACTATTATAATATAGAAAGCTGATGTGGTGTTGTAGGATAAGCAGTAGATGAAAAGGTCAATTTGAATCTCAAGACTGGTGGTTCAAACTCATCAATCATTCCTGAGAAACCCTACACAGGGTCATTATGAGTTGGAATCAACTTGACAACACTTAACAGCAACAACAACAACAATGCAGAGAATGAAGCTCTAGTAGTGCAATGGTTAAACACTCAGCTGCTAACTGAACATTCAGCATTTTGGACACACCAACGGCTCCAAAGGGGAAACGAGCTCACGACCTGCTTCTGAAAATATTTCGGCCTACGAAACTCTATGAGGCAGTTCTATCAATGTTCTTCAGGGTCATTATATGTTGAAATTGATTAGAAGGCACACAAGAAGAACATAATGAGAGACACAGAACAAAGCTCTAATAAGTCAATAATGGAACTCAGACATGCTCATGGTGAACTATGAGCTTTACTTACTAGAAAGTTGACCTAAGTTCCAATGACTACATCATTTCAATTACTGACTGCATGCAGTTTTCCCACCACTTGTCTGTTAGTTTCTTGCACTGTGGTGGCTTTCTTGTTGCTATGACGTTGGAGGCTATTCCACTAGCTTTTTAAAGACAGGGTCACTCCTATGGTGGACAGGTTTCAGTAGAGCTTCCAGACTACGACTGACTAGGGAGAAGGAGAGGCAGACAACTTGTGACTGTTGTTGTTGTTGTTAGGTGTCATCTAGTTGGTACCGACTCATCGCGACCCTATGCACAGCAGAACGAAACCCTGCCTGATCCTGGGCCAACCTCACTACTGTTGCCATGCTTGGAGTCCATCGATGTGGGCACTTGGCCAATCTATCACATTGGAGGTCTTCCTCTTTTTCTCTGATCCTTCACCTTACCAAACATATCCTTCCATTGAAAACCTTATGAACAGCAGCAGTATATTGTCAGCTATAGTACTGAAAGAAGAAAAATTATGAATAGCCAGAATATTGTCAGATACAGTGCTGAAAGATGAGCCCCTCAGGTTGGAGGGCAGTCAAAATACAACTGTGGCAGAGCTGCCACCTTAAAGTAGAGTTGACCATGACAACACAAATGGATTAAAGTTTTGGGACCTTCATTTGCTGATGGGGCACAACTCAAAATGTGGAGAAACAGCAGTAAATACTCCTTAATAATCAGAACATGGAATATACAAAGTACGAATCTAGGAAGTTTACAAAAATGAAATGGAGCACATAAAGATTAATGTCCTAGGAATTAGTGAGCAGAAGTGGACAGGTATTGGTTCTTTTGAATTGGACAATCATAGGATTTACTATGATAGGAATAACAAATTCAAGAGGAATGCCATGGCATTCATCACCAAAAAGAATATTTCAAGATGTATTATGAAATACAACATTGTTTGTAATAGAATAATATCCCTATGTCTACAAAGAAGACCAGTTAATAGTACTATTTTTTAAATTTCCTCACCAAATAAGTGGTGATGAAATTGAAGAATTCTACCAAAATCTTCAGTCAGAAATTGATTAAACATGTAATCAAAATGTATTGAAAATTATTGGTGATTCTAATGGGAAGTTTGGAAACAAAGGAAAAATCAAGAGTTGGAAAATATGACCTCGGTGACATAAATGATGTTGGAGATCACATGATAGAATTTTGCAAGATCATTACTCACTGCAAACACTTTTTAAAAGCAATATAAAAGGACACAAATGGACCTCATCAGATGGAATATACAGGAAATATGTTGATTACATCTGTGGGATGAGACATTGGAAAAGCTCAATAACATCATCTAAAGGTCAGTGGCTAATTGTTGAGTAGATCATAAAATACTCACATATAAGTTCAGGCTGAAGCTGAATAAAATTAAAACAATTCCACAAGAGACAAAATACCACCTTGAAAATATGTCACCTAAATTTAGAAACTATCTCAAGAACAGATTTCATGTATTAGATAATAATTACCGAAGACTGGAGGAGTTGTGGGATGACATCAATAACATCATACAGTAAAAAAGCAAATGGTAATTAAGAAAGCAGAAAAGAAAAAAAAGATGAAAATGGATGTCAGATGAGACTCTAAAACTTGTACTCCAGCTAGAGATGCTAAAGCAAATGGAAGAAACGAGTAAGTAAAAGAGCTGAACAGAAAATTTCAAAGGGCAGCTTGGTAAGACAAAGGCATGTAATGAAAAGTGCAAAGACTGGAGTTAGAAAACCAAAAAGGAAGAACAGCACACACTCAGTATTTCTCAATCTGAAAAAATTGGATAAAAAATTCAAGTCTTGGCTTGCAGTACTGAAGGATTCTATGGGCAAAATCGGGTCCTGGTGTGGCACTGCAGAATAAGCGCTAGACTGCTAATGGCAAGGTTGGCAGTTCAAACCCACTAGTCACTTCTTGGAAACTCTATACAAGGTCAATATGAGTCAGAACTGACTTGATGGCACTTAATAACAACAACAACATTGGCAAAATATTGAATGATACAGAAAGTATCAGAAGAAGTTGGAAGGTATACGTGTTGTCACTGTACCACAAAGAAATAGTTGATATTCAGCCATTTCAAGAGGTAGTCTATGAGTAAGACCTGATGACACTGAAAGAAGGCCAAGCTGCACTATAGTACTGGCAAAAAAAACAAGGCTTCAGGAATTGACAGAACGTAAACTGAAATCTGTCAATAAACAGATGCAACACTGGAGGCACTCAGTCATCTATGTCGGGAAATTTGGAAGTCAGCTATCTGGCAACCTGATTGGAAAAGATCCATATTTACACTCATTCTAAAGAAAGGTGACCAACAGAATACAGAAATCACTGAACAATATTAGCAGCACATGCAAACAAAAATTTTGCTAAAGATAATTCAAAAACAGCTGCAACAGCACATGAACAGGAAACTACCTGAAATTGACATCAGATTTCAAAGAGAACATGGAAGTAGAGATATCACTATGGATGTTAGATGGGTCTTGGATGACAGCAAAGAATACCAGAAAGGTGATTACTTGTCCTTTATTGACTACGAAAAGGCTTTTGACTGTGTGGCTCACAACAAACTATAGATAGCATTGCGAAGGATGTGTATTTTACAACATATAATTGTGTTCATGAGGAACCTGTATATAGACCAAGAATGGTTCAAACAGAGCAAGTTGAATGGTTTAAAATCAGGAAAGGTGTGTGTCAGGGTTGTATTCTTTCACCATACTTATTCAATCTGTTTGCTGAGAAAATAATTCAAGAAGCTGGATTGTATGAAGAAAATGTGGCATCAGGATTGGAAGAAGAGTCAATAATAATCTTCAATATATAAATGATACAAATTTGCTTGATGGAAGCAACAAAGATATTAAATATTACTAATGAAGTTAGTGTTGGTGGGATGCTGCAGGATAATGCACTGGACTGCAAGGTGTGTTAGAATCGCAAGATTGGTGATTCAAATTCACTAGCCACTCCTTGGAAACGCTATACTGGGTCACTATAAGTCAGAACTCACTAGACAGCGCTTAACAACAATAACAACAGTGAAGTTCAAAGACTACAGCTTTCATTATGATTGTACCTCAAAGTAAAGAAAACAAAAATACTCACAAATGGATGAATAAATGACAAATGGAAAAAAAACTGAACCTGTCAGAAACTTCATTTTGCTTGGATCCACAATCAACACTCATGAAAGCAGCAGTCATGAAATCAAAGGACGTATTGAATTAGGCAAATCTGCTGCACAAGACCTCATTAAAGTATTCAAAAGCAAAGATACCAGTTTGAGGCCTAAGGTGCACCTGACTCAAGTTAAGAGTATTTTCAATCACCTCAAATGCATGTGAAAGTTGGAAAATGACTAAGGAAGATCACAGAATTGATGCATTTGAGTTATGGTGTTGGAAAAGAATATTGAAAGTGCCATGGACTTCTAGAATAACAAATACGTGTTGGAAGAAGTACAGCCAGTACAATACAAGTACATTTGAATTGTATATACTTTGCTGTGTATATTCTAAGCAACAACAACAAAATAAAAAGGGGGGGATAATATCTTGATCATATGTTGTTTTTATTAAGTGTCGCCAAGTCAGTTTCGACACATCATGAGCCTATACAGGGTTTTCAAGTCTATAAAATTTTTCTGGAGCAGAAAGACTCACCTTTCTTCCAAGGAGCGGCTAGTGGGTTTGAACCCAATGACCTGTGGTCCACATCCTGTGTTTATCATACAGAACCAGCATGCTTCAAATCTTATCATATGGAATGTACTAAAAAGTTTGTTGGATTACTACTGAGAGCTAAAAATTATATATTTTGTTAATTTCATTCAGTGTAAGAAAATACTAAAATGCCTGGGAAAAAAATTATGTTTGTTTTTTTGTTGACTACTCTTTTCAACCTGGTACCACCACAGCAAATCAAGACAAAAAATACTAATTTAAAATTCATACTTATCCCAACCCAAGAATAGACTAAACTGTGACTTGGAATTTTGAACTAAACATTCTAAGAATATCTGTTTTATATTCTACAGGGGAAAAAAATAACACTAACTTAGAACTTCTCTCGATGCCCTAGGAAACACATACTACAAACCAGCAATCATTATAATCATCTCTGTTAATCATTTGCAAAGTATTCATCTCAGAACAACTAAATTTTCAGTATAGTCGGATTTAGAGGAGAGGAAAGACTGAATCAATACATAGAATCATTAATGATAATCTTGTGACACAATAATGCATTAATATTGTTAAGTGCCGTCGAGTCGGTTCCGACCCATAGCGACCCTGTACAGGGTTTCCGAGGGTGTAAATCTTTACGGGAGTAGAAAGCCTCATCTTTCTCCCGCGGAGCAGCTGGTAGTTTCGAACCACTGACCTTAAGGTTTGCAGCCCGATTCATAACCACTACGCTACCAGAGCTCCTTAATGCATTAATATAGCAAAATAAAATAAATCCAGAATTTCTAAAGTCATATTTAACAAGATAACAATTACCTGGCCTGGAACAATGGTATGAGTGAAGAGTTTATTCAGTTCGACTAACTTATTGGGAGTGATGTTAAACTTCAGTGCTATGGAGTTTAGGGTGTCCTGGTTTCCAGCCTAGAAAATCAAACAAACAAAATTGATTACACAAAGAAAAAAAAATTACTTTAGCTAGACAATATGAATCCATTCATGATATTTGCTATTGTTAAGGGCCTTCAAGTTGATTCTAATTCAGTGACCCTGTATAGGATTCCCAAGGAGAAGTTTGTGTGTTTAAACCACTGATCTCATGGTTCCGATGGTGCCATACCAGGATTCATGACATAAGTGAAAAAAAGAGCACCATCTAGACATACTATGGAAAAGAGAAAGAATATGTTCTCAATTTTTAAGAAAGTCACATAAAAGTAAATTCTTAAATGTAATTCATGTCTAGGTTCTCTCATCTTCAAAACTCACTATCTAGTCAAATTTCTAAATCTGCTTTGTATAGAGAAGATGCCCTTGATGTTGTTAAGTGTCATTAAGTTGGCTCCAACTCACAGCGACCCTATAAAGGGCCATGAGCAACTGGTGGGTTGGAACTGTCAATATTGCAGTTAGGAGTCCACTGCTTATCCTATAGGATTCCGTAGAAAAAGAAGCAAACAAACATACAGCAACAGGGGAACTTCCATTTCAACTTGACTTCTACTTGTCTGTCCCTTCATTGCACTGTAGGCTCCTGGTCTGGGGCCTGAGCCTGGCCATTTTCCTCAGTACTCAGCACAGTGTCTAACACATAGAGGCACTCAAATAATTTAGGGATGCACATTGCAGAATGGCAAGGTTTCTGCAGGAGATAGATGAGGCTTTCTGCTCCGTTAAAGATTTTCAGACTCGGAAACCATATACAGGGTCATTATGGGTTGGAAAAGGAATGGTGTTGCATTCATTGTCAAAAAGAACATATCCAAATCAGTCAAGAGGTACAATGCTGTGATAGGATAATATCCATGCACCTACAAGGAAGCCCAGTTAATACCACTATTATTCAAATTTACGTACCAACCACTAATGCTAGTGAGGAAGAAATAGAAGAATTCTACCAATTTCTCCAATATGACATTGATCAAACATGCAGTCAAGATGTACTGATCATTATTGATGATTGAAATGCAAAGGTGGGGAGCAAGGAGGAAGGATCAGTAGTTGGAAAGTGTGGCCTTGGTGATAGAAATAATGCTGGAGATCGCATGATAGAATTCAGCAAAATCAATGACTGTTCATTTCAAATACCTTCTTTAGACAGCATAAGAGACAATTATACACATGAACCTCACCAGATGGAATACATAGAAATCAAACTGACTACATCTGTGGAAAGAGAAGATGGAAAAGCTCTATATCATCAGTCAAAACAAGGCCAGGGTCAGACTGTGGAACAGACCATCAATTGATGCAAATTTAAACTGAAGCTGACGAAAATGAAAACAAGTCCACGAGAGCCAAAATATGACCTTGAATATATATCCCACTTGAATTTAGAGATCATCTGAAGAACAGATTTGATACATTAAACACTAAAGACCGAAGACCAGAAGAGTTGTGGGATGACACCAAGAACATCATACAGGAAGAAGAAAAATTCATTAAGAAGACAAAAAAGGAAAAGGACAAAATGGATATTAGAAGAGACACTGAAAGTTGCTCTCCAGCATAGAGATGCTAAAGCAAATGAAGAAATGAGGAGGTCCAAGAGAAAATTTCAAAGGTCAGCTTGAGAAGAAAAAGTCAAATATTACAACAAAAAATTCAAAGATCTGGAGTCAGAAAACCAAAAGGGAAGAACACACTCAACATTTTTCAGGCTGGGGGAACTGAAGAAAAAATTCAAGCCTCGACTTTTGTTACTGAAGGTTTCACTGGGCAAATTATTGAATGATGAAGAAAGCATGAAAAGAAGACGGAAAGAATACATAGTCACTGTACCAAAAGGAAATGGTTGATGTTCAACCGTGTCAAGAGGTAGCATATGATAAAGAGCCAGTGATAGTGAAAGGAGGAAATCCAAGGTGCACTGAAGGAATTGGCAAACAACAAGGCACCAGGAATTGATACAATAAAAAGTGAAATCTTTCAAGAAAGTGAGGCGGCACTAGAGGCACTCACTCATCTATTCCAAGAAATCTGGAAGACAACTATCTGGCAGACTGATTGGAAGGGATCCAAATTTGTGCCCATTCCAAAGAGAGGTGATCCAATGGAATGCAGAAATCATCAGACAGTATCTTTGATATCCTATGTGAGTTAAGTTTTACTAAAGGTAATACAGAAACGTCTGCAAGCATACATTGA